AATTTGCAAGGAGGCCCTTAACTCCACTTCTTTCCCAATTGGACTCAATGTCAGATGGTTTCAAATGCAAAGCTACGACAACACTTTCAGAAACTGGATCTTGTTCTAAACCAGTGAAAGGTACTTGCTCCAATATAGGCAAACCAAGTATTTTGGAGAATTCTTCCAGCGTGGGCACCAATTGATAGTCTGGAAATGTGAAGCAATGGTGTTTAGGGTCGAAGAACTGGAACAGGACACTCATCAGACCTTCGTCAAAACCGGTAGTAACCAAACTGAGTAAGTGACCATATCTCTTGTTGAATGATGAGTTCTCAGGAACTTTTAAGACCAATTACTTAAGCTTGGGAGGGACCTCTACAAAATTGATTCGGATGGTCTTTCTGTGAGTTGAATCTATGTCCTACAAAACAAAGAAAAAGATAAATCTCCAAGTCCTTGAAATGGTTAGCGTACATGTTATGATGCTTATGATGTTATGGTTATGCTTTAAAATCACGGATATGTCAAACAAGTCACACAAAGACCCTAGGTTTAAAGGCTTGTACGAGTTTTAAAGGTAAATACCCTCTTGAAGTTTAGTTGGCTCAATTTGTCCTAGAAAGTTATCGGGTTCTAATGAGCTTCATATCACTGATCTTTCTTTTAAGCATTGTTTTAGCTCAAGCACCGAAGTATTACGGCCAAAATATCTCAAAAGTCAAATCTCAATGAGTGTAGTATCGAGTATCAACCAATCTTTGGTCAAAACCAAAGTCGGACATTTCACTACTTTCTAATGGCTTAGGATGAGTCAATTAAAGGTTCTAAAGGTCAGTTAGAGCTTAACGACACTATAAAGAAGCCTAATGTTATCATTGATTGACTCAAGAAACATTAGTACAAACCAGAGTATCACGCTAATGTGGCTATCGTTGCGTCCATATCGGTCTACGCCGTATAACTTCCATGATTTATTGCCACTTACCTAAAAAAGGTGCTCTAGATCCGGGTGTAGGATCTTTAACAATAACCCAAACAAGGACCCAAAAAAATGTAAAGCAAGCAAGTCAAATAAGGAAAGCAAGTAAATGTGATATATCTCTAAGATAACCTCACTTTTAAGAAATTTCCCAGCAGAGTCATCAGTTCTGTAATACGGTGAGAGAACTGACTTGGGTGTTTTGCGTTTGATCGCAATTATTGTGGATAGCAAATGTCGTCACCGACTTTTCTTTTATCCAATAAGGAAAGGGTGAAAAGAACAGGAAATACCTTTAGAGATATTTTCTTGAGTTCGGATGGTAGGTTATGAAAAGGAAAGGTATTAGCACATTTTTTATCCGTAGTTATCTACGGGCTCTTAGTTGCTTGCTAGATCACTTGCTTTATTTGAAAATGTACTTTGTGGTGTGGGTTTGAAAATATTTTGAAAAACGTCTTTGTAATGATTCTCGTCTCTATAAGAATGCGTACAAAGTGTTAGTTTTGAAAATAGTTCAAAGAGGTGTTTGTGGAAGATGTTTTTTTAAAGTGATTTTGAAAAGTGCCTTTGTAATAATTCTCGTCTCTATAAGAATGGGTACAAAGTGTTTTAACTTATAAAAATGTTTCAATTGAAAGTGTTGGTGTGAAAATGGTTTTTTAGTTGTTAGCAAGCAAGCAACTACAAGCATCCTACCTACTCAAAAGGTCTTTGTTCTTTTCCTCCTGCTTTAAATGTTGCTATCTTACCATTAATTGATAAGAAGCCCCATCGTTGGATGTGAAGGGACGGGCGTGGGTCGTTTGTATAGTCATAAAAGGCAACCTATGAGACGTTTTAACAATTTCATTAGGGACTAGATCGTTTATCGAAGGCAACATCGAGGGACATCGAGGGACTATGATCTTTTACCGAGGGTCTTTGCTAAAACGCTCATATTCGAGGGACATGACTATTTTCCGAGGCAACAAGTGAGATTATCCTAGAGGTGCATGTGTGTGTAGTGTGTTTGATTGCATGCATTTTTTTGTCTTTAATTAGTGTGGTCTAAGTGTTGGTTTTAATCTTGCCATACACACCCTAGTTACTAACATTTATGAAAACAAATAAAAATACGAAAAATAGAGGTCATACGTTATTACAACCATATTGAACAGCAAGAAAAATGTAAAAATAAAAAATAAATAAAAGAAGGGAAAACAAGTTCTTTGATCCAGGCAGTAAGCGCCCTTTGACTCAACTCTTTCTTGCTTCTTTCGATTGAGACCGGAAGTCAGTGTGAGCATGCACCCTTCGATTCACCATTTTTCTGCTTTGTTTCGTTTGGGGCCTATAACCAGTGTGTATCGAAGTCTGTAACCTTCGATTCACACCATCTTTGTTTTCGTTTCCTTTCATTTGGGGTCAGATAGCAGCATGGGACGAAGCCTAAGACTTCGATTCACACAACCTTCTTCCTATTTTCTTTCGTTTGGGATTAAATAGCAGCATGGGTTGAAGCCATACTAATATTGTTTCATGGTCAGGTTAGTTCTTAAAATGTGTTTGACAAACAAAGAAAACAAACCAAAAGATTCTAAACGAAAACAAACATAAAAGGTGGAAACGAAAACAAACCAAAGGGTAATAATGATGTTTGAAACGAAAGGAAATAGTTATTTACATGTTATGCTTGAAACGAAAGTTTTAAGGTTAAGAGGACTAACCTTGCTTGAAGCTGGAATCTGAGTTTTAGACTTGAGTTGCTACCCTGGGATACTCTTGGATTCGAAGGAAGGAAAGAGGCTATTCGAAGGGCAGGGAAACTTGGATTCGAAAGAAAGAACAAAAGTGTAGTGTTTCTTTATTTATTCTGGGTTGAATAATGTATGAATGGATTTGAGATTTTTGTGAGTTTGAGAGTTTGAGAGTTTGTAATGATTCTTTTCACACCACAAAAGTTTCCTTAGCTACCCAAAAGCCCCCTCAAGATGTGTTGTGGAACGTCTTATTTATAGATAAAATTGGCTAGGGGGAACAAATGAAATTTGAACAAATTGGGTATGTTATTTTTGTAGCCTTTGAGGTGCAATTTTTGTATGCCAATTTGGTGCGAATATGGGAGCAGCGTAGCAGGACTGCTTTGTAGCAGTTTTGGAGTGTTGTGATCGATGCAGTAGACTTATATTTGGCAGCACGTATGACTCTGGCCAGCAAGAGTCTTTGGATACTTCAATCTTTTATTTTGACCACATAGGTCCAACCTTCGACCAGACTCTTCTTCATACAATAATATTTGGTTTCCTCTCAAGGTGTGTCCGTCGAATGGACCACATGCAATTCTTCGAATGGATCACCAATATTTGTCCTTCGAATGAGACATCCAACTATGTGCTTCAAATCCAACAATGTATGTCCTTCGAATGGGACGTCCAGCTATGTGACTCAAACCCAACAATGTATGTCATTCGAATGGGACACTCATTGTGTCATAGAGTATGAACTATGTGTGTTGAAGGTTTTTAAGAGTGGGATCGAAGCAAGCTATTTCAAAAGGGGATATTGTCCAATCGAAGCTAGTATGAAAATAGCCAAACCCATGTGGGTGCTAGCATGAGGAAAGTTCCTGCCTTGTGAATTGACGCAAGCAAGAAAGAGGCCCTTGCTTCCTAAATCGAAACAAACATTGTAAGAGGTCATTGCTTTGTGAATCAAAGCAAGCATGTAAGGGGTCATTGCTCAATCGAAACTTGCATGCAGGAGGCCACTTTCTTTGTGGGCGCTAACATGAAGGATGTACTTGCCTTGCAGGCATGAAGGAAATACTGCTAATGCTTGTGAATCAAAGGATGCATTTAGAAGATTGATGTTGTGAATCGAAAGATGCATGTAGGAGACCATATGTCCAAATGAGGCTTGTGGACCGCTTGCTCGAAGGGTTCAGAGTTGAATTTGAAGTATAAGGAAATCAATACTCCAATCGAAGCTTTGTGTGAAGGAGGTCAAATGTTCAATCGAAACCTATGGACCGAAGCAATCTGTTTTTTCTTCAATTTTGTCAAAAAAAAGACAAATTTATCTGCTTTGCTCTTTCAATAGTTTCCTCTTTGACTTGATACTTGAAAATCCAATATGATCTAATTGTACTTGTGCACACTTGAACTAGTAGAAATTTTGTGAGAAAAATCTTGAGAAATGAGAGGACAAGTTTTGGGATACAACAGCAGTAAACTTTGTTGTATTAAGGCTTATTGCTTTTCCAAAAACACTACCATACTTTTTGAAGGTTAAAAAGAAAAGTGTCATAAACCAAGTAGCAAGTTGTTGCTTTGTACAATTATATCTATATTTAATGAACAATTGAAAGGTTTTTTTTAAAAGAATGTTGACAACGACAACAGTCAATTGATGATACCAAAGCAATTGAGGATTCAAAGTAATAAGGAAAAGTTTAGCATCTTGACATTCTTTACTGTGTCTCATTTTTTTATATGGCAATTACATATCATTTTAATATACATGAGACTATGGTAAGGCAGTATGGAACAACTAACAAACTAAAAGAATATAGGCTATATTAAGCTTTCAAATTCAACTCCAAACGTTACTGCCTAAAAACATAAGAAAATTCTGATATAATTCATGAAACTCCTTTCCAACTGGATTTGACATAAACTCCTGAACATTATATGAAGTCAAATCATATGATTCATTACAGCAAAAACAAATTCTGAATCTCAAAACATAAATTTCATCAATCACGCGTTGCTTAAAAGATACAGTAGTGCTCGAATCTCAATAGCCCTCGCCATTCTTAAATTATGACACAAACAGAACTAATAAGAAACACAGTATAACATTTCCAAATCAGAAATAAATTTGTAGTACCTGATACAAAACACATCAATATAAATCACATCTTAAAGCTCAAGGCTCAAGTTTTTCCATTGGGTGACACAACAAAGAAGTCATTAATGAGTAACAACACGAAGAGTGTTCAAAAGAATGCGATAAACTCACCTTTCAGAATTTAGGGATGGGTGCAGATTTAGTCTGGTTAAGAGTTCTCATCCGATTCATCAGAGTCAGAATCACTTGCATTATAACCTAATAAAATGCCCCAGAAAAAAAAAAGTCACACGGAATTACAAAGAAAAAGATAGATGATAGTTTTGATAAGCTGCTAACAACAGCAGGGGGTTACCTGGACGTTTATCTCCAACTTTCCAAACTGAAGATCTAACCCTTGATGCTTTTGTCAGCCAAAGTTTACTCTTCATTTCCAAGCAAACAACATTAGTGTCCCAAACAAAAAAGAAAGACAAACAAGTATATCTACACTCCAGAGAATCCAATCAGTATCCATACTTCATAATCCCACTATTACTCTTTATATTCAAAGAGAGGTTCATGAAATCAATATATTCTACAATAGAAACTATTCACATCTATTTCTGATATAACCTCTGCATATTATACATTAAAAAGAATCCAAAACACACAGCAATAAGTCTTAACATTATTTATAAAAAAAACTGGTTTTATAAATATGCATGTTTGTTTAACTTCAAAAGACTTATCAAGTCATTACATCCATCCACAATAGAACTTCTAATGTTGCTCTTCTTCACATATATAGACAGGAACACAATCTTTCAATTAAATTCATTTACATGGAACTTTGGTACATGTTTTCTTAAAAGGTTCATAACTGCAATCTAGGCCTTGATATTAAAGTTTTTACGCTTCCCGATCCCAACCACAATTGAGGCCCTATCAACTACAATTCTTTGCAATTCCAAGCATAACATTGTCAGCATATAAAATAGGATCACATATGTATCACCAAACACATTAGATTAAAGCTGTGCCTGTGACAAACACATTACTGACACTCTTAATTACATACAATCACTACTTATTTTCTAAAGCTATTATCTGTGTTTATTTGTCAGCGTGTTGTCTGCATCAGTGCTTCATACACAAAGCAGAGGAGCAGGGGGTGGGGGAGAACCCTAGCATTGACTTAAACGTGTTTTAGGACCAACTGTTTGTTGCGGGAGCTCACCCCTGAGTGGTTCAAGGGTATTCTTGTAATGTAGATCGTAGTACTAATACAGAGCATGGTTCAGCTTCTCTCTAGTCAAAGACCTAGGCACAGTTGGCCGAACCACCTAAACAAATATCATGTTCAATATTTACTATTTGCGTTTGTCTGATCACTTTTATTACCTATGAAGCACGAATACCGAAAACACGACACTAACAAGGAGACTTCAACACCGTAATAATTTGAAAAAAACAAATAAGTTAAAAGTAATCACAAGTGTCTATGTCGGTTTCGGGACACTGACACAATCTTTTTATAGTCACCAACTTGTTCTTCTATCGATTATCAAGCAATATAGACTTATTCAATTAACAAGAGAACCCTAAAAATCAACATCAAACAAACAAACCACAATCCAATGCAACTTAATTAAAAAAAAAAAAAACAAAGATAAACCAAACCCTACCTTTTGAGCATCTTTAGGAATACCATAGCCACTATAATACATCTGACCAACCAAAATCTGCATATTAACATCACCACCTTTAGCCTCCCTAAGAGTATCCTTAAACCAACGCTTCACACAATCTGCCACGACCCCTGACAAAGGAACACGCTCGCTGCTATCTTTCCCTATGCTGCTCTCCATATATACTAGGGTTTTCTTCAAAAACTAGTTTTCCAATACCTAAAAAACCCAGAAATTGTGAAATTGTTAACTTTCTAGGGTTTTGGAAGCTGTGAGTGGTGCTATATAGAGAACATAGAAGGATTTGGATGGAGAATTTATATGGGGTTAAATTTGCAGCTATCCGGGAAAAAGGAAGTGCGGCGTTGTGTTAGTTTTAACGCGAAAACTAATTTATAAAATTTATGATTTTTTTTATCTATACGGAGATTTTAACATAAATCTGTTAACTTGTTTTTATTTTTATTTTTAAATCAATTAAGTTGTTGCTTTGTTGGTCGGAGGTTAATATTTTTTTATTTATTTTTATTATTATTATAATAATTAGAATGATATTCGTGCGTTCGCACGGATACTTTTGAAACTCGTATTAAATTAAGAAGAGTTTATGTATGAAGAAAAAATAGTTAAAATTGAAGTATATCATCGTTCAACAGTTATAATATATAATTGATAAAAATAATATATAATTGATAAAAATGATATATATTGATAATAACAAAAGAATATGAGACAAATATGAGTAATTATACAATAAAACAGTAATGTAAACCAAAAGATTAGTTGTACCAACATTCATAAATATAATATTGTCAAACATTATCCATTCATTATACTCCCAAAACTACTACAACCATACATAGTTCACACATGTTACATAGAATAAGTTGCGCACTTAACAACCGTGGTAGTGAAACTTAACGTCATTGTAAGTTAAGTAAAGACACTCACAACAACAAAAAATACCACAAGTTTTGACAAACATATATTCTTTTTAGTTAAACAAAACACCTTAACTAAATTGAGTTCATCACGTGTCTTCAAAAAGGATTTCCATAAACTACGGTATATGCCTACACACTATTTATCAGCCCCATACATATTAGCCTACCATGACCGCCAACCATGAGTTGCATTGCCACGCTCCACCGATATAAAGATCTCGTCCACAAGAGGGTAACAGATGCATAAGTGCAGCGTATCACCAACCTTCAAATTGGCTTTCTTATCATAGTCATACATGTCACCCAAAAGGTACCTTTTTACACTCTATTTTCTCTTCTTCAACAGGCAATGGTACGGGACTCCATTGTCGCAATCTAAAAGCCTAATTGGTATGTCCCCTCCACAAATGCAATTTTTGATTATGTTATTAGGGATTTGCTGTTAATGGACAAATATTGTTAGAAGAATAAAATATGTGACTGATTTTATATAGTTTTGTTACCAATGTTCCCAATCAAAAGTTATAGATGCAGATGAGTTTTATACTTACAATTGTATTAGAATGCACTGTCATGGAATCAGCTACAACCCGACTCCAATTTTGTTCCAATGTTTTCTCGTCAATAGGGTTGTATGGCCTGTAATATTTCAACAAAAATAATGAATTTGTTTAAAGGTTGTGAGTTACCTGATAACATATTGTATTTGCAACTAAAAATCAGGAACTGCATGTTACTTATATCACAACTATAAACGGTTCCGTAGATGCTATATCTATGTTTTCAAGTTCATCTGGAGGAAGTAAACCCTAAATACTTATTGTACATAACCGTTTTCGTTATTGATATAGCAGAAAAAACATTATATAGTGTTTCCAAACCCATTAACCATCAACAACATTATCCATGACCACAAACAACCAATGTTAGACACACATGCAGATACAAATAAGTATGCATTTCCATAAATCAAATGACATGCACCACATCGGGAATGACAGATCAAACCTTCACACTTACCTTGATGGTTTTTGATTGCCGTTGGTTACGGTTTTTGAGAAGTCTTTGGCGGCCATGTCCGATTGATCTGAGGAGGAGAAGGTGCATTGTGTGTGGATGGTTAGCTTTAAATAGGGCTTTGTTTTGTGTACATCGTGTGAGAATCAGAGTACATGTACAAGTGGACTTTGTTTTGTTTTAATATTGATTACATCCTGACCATTGATCTATTTATTTTATAAAGTAATCAAAAAAATTGTATTTTTTATTTAGTGTAAAAAGATATAATATAAAGATATAATATAAAGATATAATATAAAAAGGTATCAGTTGTATATATTAGGGAATAACTTATTGTAAAAAAAGAGATGGAGAGTCAAATGGGCCATTAGGCCGATGATAAAGAAGTAATGGAAGTAAAAAAGGAACATTCTACGTAATAGGGTTAAAATGGACTTCCAGTGAGAAATTCCGAAAAAGAGCTTCCACTTAAAAGTACAAAGTGCAACTTATCAAAACCCGGAGTAGGCGTAGAAAGAAAAGCTCGGTCCAGCTTCTGGTTGAAGATGAAGAATAGTGGGTAAAACGACATGCATGTGGGTAAGTTTGTAGCTATCAATGTTCAAGTATTGGTTATTTTGTACATGGAATCCATAATGTGTTTGGTAGAAGTTATATAGGTTGTGAGTAATATCTTTGTATGATGAATATTGTTGCAGATCTGCGTCGGAGAATTCGTTGTTGGTTCAACGCCAAAAGATCAAAAAAAGTATAACAAATATGATGAATCTTCATGTAAATTTCGCCACAAACTGGTATAAAGATGGATATTGTTAGTTTTAAAGAATAGTATTCTCTGTCTAGAACACGTCTTCATTCTCTATCAAAAGGGAAAGGTTCTGATGAACCCCAACTGGCAGGAAGCAAATGTGATGTTAAAGGGAAATGGATTAATAATAGTTTAGTAGGCGTCAAAGGGACAACAAACTCTGGGTAAATTTTGTTTTTGAAATTAATATATTTTAAAAGGCATGCGTGCTATTAAATGTAGGTGTTTTTTCCTGGTGTATAACTAATTTTTTATATATTGTTGTTGTCATGATAATAATGTTGCAAAATGTTATGTATATATTATTGACGTGCAGTCCTGATAATAAGGTTATACAAGTATGATTATGTAGGTTTTCAGTTGGAAGTTCTATAAGTGTAGAGTTCTTAGTCCCTTGTTGCTGGTTTTTTAGCAGAATGATAGAGAATACTAATACAACGGAACCCAATCATATTGTTGTGTTGTTTTTTATGATGTGGGTTTGTTAGAAAAGTTTAATTGTATTGAAAATGCGTAATAATGTGGTATATGTTAAAGTTTTCAAGTATCTTTAGAAGGATAAAATGTATTGGATAAGATGTATGGAAAAATAGACTAAGATTAGTTTTGAAATATATTTGGTTTGGTGATTGAATCAGGAAATTTACTCCAATATATATGGAAGAAAATGAAGAAAACTGGAGCAGGGTTGTATCTAATGCTAAGGTTATGAGTAGGAATGTGCTGGTAAGTAATAGAAGTTAATTGTTGAAGTGGTATATGTAATTTTTAAGGGTTGAATCTCATCTAATTTAACTATATGTTTTACAGCAACTACCGTTTGAAGTGATTAAGAAGTGTCTAAGTGGATCGGTCAGCTCGATTGTGTTATATGATTCAGACAAGGGTATCTCAGAAAAATGTGTGTTGAAAGTGAGGAATGATGACAAAGGCGAGAAGTATCTTACTACTGGGTGGTATGAGTTTGCTAAACAGAAAAAGTTAAAGAAAATAGACATTCTGCATTTCTGCATTCGATATCCGCCAGCTGATGAAATATTGGTTTATGTTGAGCCAGGAAAGAAGAGACATTGAAACAAATTGTGTTGATTATGTAATGGGAAAGAAGGATTAGTTGTTTGTGTAGTTTGTTTATGTTTATTTCATGTTTTTAATTTTGTAAGGTTTGAACAGTTGGTATGATTTAGGTCAAGTGTTTAGTAAATGTTGGATGCTATGATATATATAAATTTTAGTAATCAGTTTTTGATATGATATACATATTATGCTAAAATATTTAGATAGTTGATGTTATAATACTAAAAACAAAAACATGAATTTAACAGGATGTTTTTGAGTGATGTAGTATGACAGGGCCATGAGTCATAAAGAAAGTAGTGTGAATTATTTGTTATCCTACAAATTGACGATCGTCATAATGATTATACCAGTATCAGTAATACTGATATGATAAGCATCGAGTTCCTATGAAACATAGAGTGGTGAAAAAATTTGTTTACTGTAACATTAGGTGCATGCATATGGTTAGGCATGTTGATAAAGAAATGTATAGCAAACATAATGTCATGCTAAACAGTCCAAAATTAAATGGTATAATAATCAACCAAAGTTGGTGTGTGTTTAGAAACATAAAAGGAACATCATATAATTTTGAGACAGATGAGGCTTAACGGTAATTCCAAAATATATCAAACTGTGAGGTTACAAACTCATGTATTACACACTCTAAAGCAAGAACAACATAATGCATACTAACAGAAGAGCAGGACTAATTTTTGAATAATCATATATTACCCGAAAACTTTCTTGTAAACAATGTTTGTAGTTGTTACTTTGAACTTTCCATGTTCATCATGTATCAATATTTCAATTCCTTGTTTTGTTGTGACCCTTGATAGTGCAACATAAATTTGACCATGGATAAATACATCTCTTGGCAAGTAGAGACTTATGTTATCCAAAGATTGTCCTTGCGATTTGTTAATTGTCATGGCATATGAGACAATAATTTGGAATTGTCGTCTATTTAGCTTGAATGGCCAGGGTAATTGCGACTGTGACATATCCATTTGAGGGATGTAAACCAAATTTCCAGAACCCTTTCCCGACATTATCGAAGCTTCAAGGACATGAATTGACATGTTTGTTATGATTAGCCTTGTGTCGTTACACAAACCTTCAGACTAGTCTATGTTCCGCATTAACATAACAGGTGTTCTAACTTTTAACTTTAAGTGATGGTTAGGAAAAGCTGGCATACGTAGGGAACTAAAAAATTCCAGTGTCAGGATGTCAAGTACTTCGAGGTCATGAATTTCAGAGTTATTAATTGTATTTGAACTGTAGTAGTCGCATATGTCTCCTGTTTTGGGAACATACATAAATCAGCAAATAGAAGTCAATGTATA